CAGCTTAATTAACAAGCAAAAGCTGAGCGCAACACTTGGTCAGCAGATCCCCCTGCTTGGGGTGTGGTCCTTGTCTTCCTCCAAAAAGACGTCCGCTCTCTGAGCGTAACCACACCTCATGCCACGTCTCACAGGAAAGCACGTCTTACACCCCTCGTTAAGGAATGTTCTGAGGTTTGGGGTCTTACACCTGGGAGGTGGATTCCAAAGCCATTGCTGCTAAAGCCAAGGGCCACCCTTGTCAGTCAGACGCACTTAACCAGACAACTTGCCGGGCTGACGAGTAGCGTGCCTCTGAGATGTCTAGAACACAAATATAACGACAACCTCGAAACCAAACCGTAGGCATTGAAAGTGCCACGTTTCAGAACCACGCGGCCGTGGCCACCGTCACTCACAGCCTGCCCTGCTCTTCCTTAGGGCTCAAGACAACTTTCTGCTGCTGCCTCCATCTAAGATCTCAGAGAATTTAAGTAATTGATGGACATGTAAGAAGGCTGTGCATACAACGGGGCCAAACGCCACGCCTAAAAGGCTGTCCTTGTGATTTCGGATCTGTGGGTTTAACATCAATTTTACCCTACCATGCTGTGGCTGGGGTGGCGGACTGCACCAAGACGTGACCGGGGGTCTGCTCTGTGCAGCCACTTCTGCACCATGCCCATGACATGCTTGCAACACACTGCCACACGGTCTGTGCCAGTGAACAAAAGTCAAAGGACTGGGCTCTGTGTGACCCCCCAGCACATGTCTCCCCGAGCTCGTCCTAACATAACAAGGGCGCCTGTCCTCTGGTCTGTCTGTCCTAGTGCTACGTCTGCCGTCACCATTTGTGGGAACGCAGGATACTCACGACGGGGAACGGGTGGCAAAGCAGCAGCAGCAGCTGCAGCAGCACGCTCTTCCTGACCTCGCCGGGGAACCGGATCATGCCACAGAACCTGCAGGGAGGCAGGGGGTCCACCCCGTCAGCACACAACCCTCACCGGCACAAAGCCGCGGGTGCCAAGGGGCCGCGAGGGGGGAGAAGACTCACCCCGGAACACACACTGTCCTCGGGGCCTGCAAGTGGCCTAGCCCATGAGCGTGCTCCACAGCCTTGCTCTCGCCTGGAGCCTGGCCATCCCTATCCCATCCCAGCCAGCTCAGGAAGAGCAGTGGGTCTCCTGTGAAAGCCACCTCCGTTTAGGACGATGCCTCCACCGCCTCCTCCCTCGCTCGCCCCCACCCCCATCCCCCACCGTGTGGCAGGACAGTCAAGGCTAGAGTCACCTGCTCCGGGTGGAAACAGCCCCTCTCAGCCTCCCCACCCCTTGACTCCTGGCTGCTCTGGGGCCAAGTCTCATCTTTGCTGCCTCCTGCAGGGCACACTCACACGGCAATGCTCGACCGAAGCTTCTGGATGTCTTTGGACTTCTTCATTTCCTCCTTGCAAAGCGTGAGCAACTTCACAGCAAAGGGGTGGCTGGAAGGAAGGGCACGACCCTGAAGACATGCTTTCATGGTCTACATGCCAACATGTCAGCCTGGGATGGCGGTGCCAGGGCCGCTGCCATAGAGCAGGGCACAAAGGAGCAAACAAACGTACCCCCCCCCCCCGCAGTCTGTACAGCAGAGGCAGGGGCGCTGAGTGCACAACCTGGGGGCTCAGCCACCGACAGTCCCTTCTCAGCTGATTCCCTTCCTCTGCCAGTCGGTCAGACTGGCACTTACCCAGGCAAGGCCACATGATTGCCTCCCACGCTGCCTCAGTGTGCAGCCAATGCTTGTCTTCTGGACCCACAGTCCGTATGAAACACGTCCCACCTGTTCTGGAATATCACCCAGGGTTCTGATCTTGGGATCTGACTACGTGCCCTGAAGCTGTGAGTGACCACAGCTCGACCAGGGAGGCAGCACTCACTCCTCCTCCAACGCGAAGACATCAAAGCACCCGTTGGCCAGCATCTGGTCCAGCGTCTTCAGCAGCGGCACAGACACCCTGAGGGGAGACACGCCCCAGGGGCACGAGTCCACTCGGGGCCCAGCACCACCAGGCCCTGCTCCCTGCACTTGGCCCACACAGGTGTGACGTGACCTGTGCGGCCCTGGGTGTAGAGGAGGGACGTTCTATGAGGACACAGAGCAGAGGAAGCACACCTGGAGCACTGGGCTTCGAGGAGGTTTGTAACCAAAGGCTGTTTGTTGTCATCTTTTTCTAAAAATTTTAAGAGTTTGTTTTACATTCAACGTAATGCATACATTTAGTTTTATTCCCCATTCGCCATGTCCAACCCTAACCCAGTCTCCTCCCTTCCCTACCCTGTAACCCTCTCCCCCGTGTCCCTCATATTCAGGCACTCCTGTTTGTCCTGCATTTCCTCAGTTTGAATGTTGGTCCTCTGGTGTCCCATGGTCTATTGCTCTAAGGAACGTATTACCATAGAGTGTGTGGGTGCGTCATGCTGGGTTGAGTGGTCTGCATGTACATCTTGTTAACTATTGGGCTGAGAGCCCGCCCCTGGGGGTGAGTTTTACTACAGGCGCCGAATATATTTCAGGGCAATAGTATTGGGAGTCTCACCAGATTTCATCTGACCAGTAATTCTGGTCATTATTGAATTTTTGGATTTTGTTTCATGTTTTCCCTCCCACTCTATCCAGGATCTCCAGATTTGATCCTTTCCTGAGTGGTTGGCATTGGTTCTTCTGGTCTCAAGGACCATTGTGTCCTAGGGCCGA